CACAAGCTCCGGAGTCTGAGGGCACCCCAGACTCCCCAATCTCCTTGCCCAACCTCGCCTGTTCCTGCCACGGGACGTCAGACTTGGCATTTGAACCTTTGCTGACCTCTTCTGTCTCTGAAAGAGTGAGGTCACAGCAGTGGGCTCTGCTTGGCTGGCAGGATGGGTTGTTCGTACTGGGGGTGGAGGTGGAGATGACCTGTGCACCTGGGACTCCCAAGGAGAGGGAGCTTTTGCTCTTGGCTTGTTAGAGAGAAGGGGAAAACATGCTCCTCCAAGCCACTGACTTCAGATCCCTGCCGACAGCCTGGACCCCCAAGAGGCTGTGAGGCCATGACATCCTCACCAGGCCTGAGGATGCTGCAGGGGCGCCCCACCCTGCCCTCTGCTCGGGCTCTGCTTCCCACAGCGACTGACCAAACAGGAAGCAGGACCGAGGCAGGCCCCAGCCCACCCCGTGATAACCTTTCCCCTCCCTCTACTGCTCCTCAGGCCCCATGCTCCTGGAGCCCCTGTCCAGGGGAGGCGGCACATGCTCTGGATTTTACAGAACCACATGTGGGTGAAAGATGGGCTCAAGCACAAGACAGACCCGTGGACTAATATAAGAGTGTGAAAAGTTCACTGGTATGGTTTTAGATTCACATTGCAGCTGACTCTTAAGAAACTACCCCTCATCAAGCTTTGGTTTAGGATTGAAGAACAAGCTATTAAAATACGCTTTCCTTTTCCAGACACATGTCTCTGTGAGGCGACGTTTTTTTCATATACTTCACCCATTCTCGTTAGTTTTTTTTTTTTAGGAAAATGTCATTGTTTTTCTGTTTTTTAAAGATTTTATTTTTCCTTTTTCTCCCCAAAGCCCCTTGGTACATAGCTGTGGATTTTTAGTTGTGGGTCCTTCTGATTATGCTATGTGGGACACTGCCTCAGCATGGCCTGATGAGCAGTGCCATGTCCGCACCCAGGATTCGAACTGGCAAAACCCTGGGCCACCGAAGCAGAGCATGCAAACTTAACCACTGGGCCACGGGGCTGGCCCCTGAGTGTATCATTTTTAAATGAATTACTTTTTTTTTTTTTTTTGCTGAGGAAGATTAGCCCTGAGCTATCATCTGTGCCAGTCTTCCTCCACTTTATATGTAGGTCACCACCTCAGCATGGCTGAGGAGTGGAGTAGGTCTATGCCTGGGATGTGAATCTGTAACCCCGGGCTGCCAAAGTGGAGCACGCCAAACCTAACCCAATGCCACAGGGCCAGTCCCTAAATTACTATTTTTCAAATTTAAAGTTTAAATTAATTTTTAATTTTTTTTCTTTAAGATTGGCACCTGAGCTAACAACTGTTGCCAATCTTCTTTTTCCTTTTTTCTTTTTTTTTTCTTTCTGCTTTTTCTCCCCAAATCCCCCCAGTACATAGTTGTATATTTTAGTTGTGGGTTCTTTCAGTTGTGGCATGTGGGACACCGCCTCACTGTGGCCTAATGAGTGGTGCCATGTCGACGCCCAGGATCTGAACCAGTGAAACCCTGGGCCGCTGCAGTGGAGCGCACGAACTTAACCACTAGGCCATGGGGCCAGCCCCATAATTTTTAATTTCTAATGTAACTGTCAATCCATATAACTCACAGAAACAAAGCTCTTTGTGGGTTCTCCATAAATTTTTAAGATTGTAAGAGGTCCCTGAATCCAAAAAGTTGGAGTTTTCTCAAAAGTCCTAGTACATCCACAAAATAGATGGTTATGCAACCACTGAAGTGACGTTTATGAAGCCATAGGAAAAGTGCTAACATCACTGTGTGTGGTTCTCAGAGGTCTGCACGCTGGCTTCTTCACCACCACTGAGGGGGCAAACCCTCTTGAGGAGAAGGAGGACTGAGATTGGTGGATGGAATTTCCGGCTTTATACTTTGCAGGGATGCGATGAACACGTATTATGTTTGTAACCACAAAAAAATGTAAATGTAATAAAATAATGTGTGCCCTGTTCTCCTCATAGTGGACGTTGTGAAGATTAAAAACATTTCAAAGTTGTATTGACGAGCATGCAGTTTCTCCTAGGGCCAGGCTGGCTCCTCAAATCCATCACCGTTCTCTGGAGCATGACACACGTGTGTAATAAACACTCGCTAAACTCGTGTTGAATACACAGATAAACGCATGAGTGCTTTAAAGTTACAAATTCAAGATCTACAACTGCTGCTTTTGGTTGAATTGTGTCCTCCAAAGCTATGTTGAAGTCCCAACTCCCAGGACTTCAGAATGCGACTTTATTTGGAAATAGAGTTGTTGCAGATGTAATTAGTTAAAATGAGGCCATATCAGATTAGGGTGGCCCTCAATCCAATGACTGGTGTCCCAGAGACAGACACACAGAGGGAGTTGGCCATGTGACTACGGAGCCAGAGATTGGCGTGATGCCTCTATAAGCCAAGGGACGCCAAACATTGCCAGTGTCCAGCGGAACACCAGCACCAGCTCCCAGTCCCAGGGAGGACCTCTGCCGTGTGGAGGGGAGCAAAGCCCATCACGCACCGGCCGCCAGGGGTAGAGGTCCAAACACAGCAGAGCTGCCAAGCGAAGCGCAAGCACTGAGACAACAAGCTTCCCTCCTCAGAGAAGGGACAAGTAGGTCAGCCTCAGCAGTGGGCGTCGGTCCCCACGCAGGGTTGGGGGGGGCCTCCCCCCGGCATTTGGCCTGCAAACATCTTTCCTGTGTGCAGTAGAAGGACCTGGAGCGCCCCGTGGAGTCTGAAATGCTGAAAGCCGGGGGCCTGCTTGCGCAGAACACAAGCGCGTTCATTGAGTACCAACGGGGAAGGCTACCCCACACAGGCGGTAAGCCCCGCACAGGCTGTGTGGGCTCCTTGTCTGCTAAAAAGAAGTCTTCCAGGCCCAAAGCCGTTCTTAAGTGGCCCCGTGGGGTCAGAAGGCTGAAGCTAGGAGAGGCAAGGACCATCCCCTTACAGGATTCAGAGGGAACATGGCCTTGATTTCAGAGTCAGCTCTCCAGGCTATGAGAGAATACGTTTCTGTTGTTTCAAGCGCCCTTCTGACATGCTGTTCTTCTCACAGTAGGCCTAGAAAGCGAGGGTAACAGCTGCATAGCAAAATTACTTCTCTTCAGCAGAGAGAGAAATGGCTGTGGTTTGTACCCACTTTTTTCTGCTCTCACTTCTTGCAGCCACACCTGAGATCACCTGGCGAGGAAACGCGTGAGAGAGCTGGGGGAGGCCCCACTGAGGACAGGCGTCTGTTGGCGCCACCACCCACCTGCTTTGCAGGACAGCCTGTTTAGGTGCAGGCCCACCAAGGCCCCCAGGCGCTGAGTGAGCACCAGTCGTGACTGGATACACGTGGCCACTCAAGAGCCTCTGGGGCGGTTTTCAAACATGTCCACACATTCTGTGACATTCCTCCTCTCCAAAGGTGGATCCTCACCCCTCTCCAGTGTGGGCTATTCTCAGGACTCGCTTCTGACAAGTAGAATGTGGGTGACTTCCCACATTAGTTCACCCAGCTTCCTCTTTCCTCTCTGGACGGTCACCCCGGGGGGCCAGCGCCATGTTGTGAGGACCCTCAAGCAACCCTGGGGAGGGTCCACATGGTGAGGAGCTGAGGCCTCCTGCCAACGGCCTTGTGAGCGAGCCGTCTTGCAAGTGGATCCTCCAGCCCCAGTCCAGCCTGCAGATGACCGGAGCCACAGCTGATGTCCCACCTGAAATCTCACCAGAGACCCCGAGCCAGAACCAGCCAGTCCCAGCATCCCTGACCTACAGAAACTGTGAGGTAGTGTCTGTTGTTTTAAGCCCCTGCTTGGGGTGATTTGTGCCACGCAGTAGATAACTAATGCAACTCTGACTGGCTTCCCAGAAGGAGCCCCACACCCCACCTGGCTTTGCTTTGTTACAAATCAGGCTCTGAAGGATTCCCCATCCTCGCCCAATGTCAGAGCCTCCATGTGGTGACTGGCACAAATGCCACCTGCCCCTCAGTGCTGTATTAGGGCCCCTAAGATCAGCCTGGTCCTCTGGGAACGCCAGGGCTGTGTGCTTGTATGTGGTGTGCGTGCGTCCTGGACTCATAAAACCGTTTGCAACATATCTCCCTTCTCTCCTTGCTTCGCTTTGCACTCCTGCAGATTTCTGACGTCTCCATCTCTTTGGCAGTTGTGTGTCCAGGACTCTGACTTTCCCGCCTCTCCCTGGCCAGGGGAGGGAGGGGAGATGGTGAGAGCTGCTTGGAGCCCGGGCAAGTAGCCAGGACTGCCCCAGGGGAGGGCGGTGAGCGCAGGGGAGGTGAATGAGTCTCTCAGGTCCTGGGAGCAGGCACCTCTCCAAGGCCTGGACCTGAGGCCCATGTGTGGGCCTGAGCATGGACAGCGTGGGCATCTACCAAACATGCCTCCTCCCCAGCTGAGGGGCCCTGCTGGGCACCCAGGGGCTGCCTGGTCCCGTGAGACAGGCTTGTCCACCAACCTGAGTCAGGACGCCTGCTTCCTTCCACTCCGGGTGCCTGTCTTGGGGCCTGATCTGTGTCTGCAAATAATCAGCTGCCTGATGGGGTCCACAGAGCCATTGGGCACACCCCTGGGAGGCTAGGACCCCCCCACCACCACCACCACCACATCCGAGCAAGACCCCAGCCCTGAGGCTGTGGTGAGCAGGGCAAGCCTCAGACCTCAGACACCATCTTTCCTCCAAGCTGCAGCCTGCGGCCTGGACGGAGCCCAGCCAGCAGGAAGGCTTGGCCCAGGCACAGCCGTAGGCCCACCTCCTCCCTCCTGCCCCACTGCCTCCTGGGTCTCTAGAGAGGAAAGTGGGCTTGTGTGTCATTTACACGCTCATTTCTCAAAATCGCCATGGTCATTAGCACTGTCCATAATTGTGGTGATAAACACGCCGCAGTGCAGTTACAGGTGGCACTCACACACACACAGGCAGGGGCCTCGAAGCCGGTTCCCTCCCCACAGGTGCAGGACACACACGGGGACAGCTCAGCCGTTTCTTAAACACAGTTTTTATCTTTAATCATTCAGTTGGTTTAAGTTTTCACTTTCACTACATGGATGAGATGGGTGCATGTTACACTAGGCTTCCGCTACGAGAGAGCTGCCACCACTAGGGAAGTCCAGCCCTCAGTTCCCTTTCCACTTCCCTTTCTGAGTCCCACAAAGCCACAGTGGGCACCACTGGGTTCCAGTCCTCGCTTGTCGCTCCCTTGGAGGCTGGCTTGGTGGGGACAGGGAGAGGGGTCATGGGTCCCTACTTCCCCTTAGCCCACCACAGAGGACCAGTATCCACCCATGCTCTCTGGCTTGGCCCGGGGAGACCACCAGCAGTACCCCACCCCCCATGGGTTTCTGTAGGATGGAAGCCCGGGATACTGGGGGCTGCAACCACCTGGTTTCTGAGGCACTGGCTCTGGGTCCTGTGAGAACTTGTACTCTATCCCCTCACACTTTCCACCAAGAAGACGGTCAGCAGGGACCCGTGGGGTGGGGCTGCCATGGAGAAGGGGAGGATGCTGCAGTGGCACAAAGACCAGATACCTGCCACATCCAGGCAGGTGTTAGTCCTCAAAGGCTGGTGCTAGGAGATCTGGAGATCCAGGCTGAGGGAGGGAAAGGAACAAAACCCAGGAGGGTCCTGGCAGGAGGGGCCTAGAGCCAGGCCTCCAACCAGCAGGCTGGCCAGAGGGGCTACAGGCCAGGAAGGCCAAGGATGGACCAGGTGGGGAGGTGGCTTAGGAACCCTGCCCCCCCACCATCTGAATCTGCAGGCAGCTGGTCCCCTGCCCCTCCTGCTGTCTGCTCAGGGTTCCCTGAGGGGCACTTGCAGCTGCCACTCACTCACACCTGGCCACACCTGTCTGGAGGTGAGCCTGAAAGCCCCATGGCCAGGAGCATTGTGGGAGCATCTTTCTACCAGAGCAGAGGGCACAGGAAGGACAGGGTCTTCCAAGGATGTGGCAGGGGGTGCAGGGATGGCGGACAGTGGGAAGTGGGTTTTCCCCACACCGTTGCTGGGCCAGAGGCTCCTGGGAGGAGGGCACTTCTGAGTGTGAGGGGCTAGCAGAGGATGTCACACTGCCCACAACCCTCTAGACCATGGCAGCCTACTCATGGGTCCCTGGTGGAGTGGGCAGAGAATGCCCATTCCCCTGAAGACTCGAGCCAGGCCACACCCCACCTAACCCCAACTCCAGCCATGGACAATGACTGCAGGGTGCTCACTGCAGGCCAGGTGGTCTCAGAGGACCCCTGTGCAACCACATTAAAGGATGCTGCAGCCCCACCCACCAATTCTAAAAAGCTCCACTGCACACACAACTCCCAGGGCTGCCCACAATGACATGGTGACTTGGCCCCATGCTGCCCAGAGGTCCTTCTCCATCCAACACTTTCTTCTTCTGCCCACTCCTGTGTGCACAGCCCTCTTCCACAGGAGAACACGCAGGCAGTGTTACCTCAGAGGACAACCCAGCATAAGGACCCACATGCTCCTACCACCGTCACTGGATTTATTGAGGTCATCACATTCGCTAACAGGGCTGCCAAGAGGGGACTCCGCCACTGCCTGATCTGGTGCTGAACTGAGGGACCATGTGCCATGCCCTGCTGGCTCCTCCAGAGAGAGTCTGTGGTCACCGAATGGGCACAAGGACTGGACAACTCAGAGTGCGGAAAGAGAAGCATGAACTGGAGTGCAGGGGGAAAGGGAGGGAGCAGGAACAAAAGTTGCGTCTAGACAAAGTTGAAGAAAACAAAACCAAAACCCGAATGTCTTCTTGTCTCATCTCAGGATCCAGGTGCTTGTGTCCAAAGCCCTTAGCCGGACATCTCCTCTCGCTGCTCCTTGTTCCTGCGCACCTCGGCGGCGTGCAGCTCCTGCGAGGACAGCCGGCGGTGGGCGGTGCCCAGCCCGCCCCTACTCCCCGGGTTCCCGGGGTCTGGGGGCCCTGGTATCCTTTCCTCCCTGGACTGGGACGGCCCCAGGAGCAGGAGATGCCACCAGTGAGGACACCTTAGGGACCAAGACTCAGGAGCAACAGTGAGCAGAGGAGGCCCGTGCACCACGTGACACCATGTGGCCTGAGGGTGCGGGCTGGCCCTCAGTGCGCCTAGGCTTGTACCCAAACCAGAGCGTCGTGACTCAGGGAACTTACCACGTGTGCAGGCTCTCGCCCCGCCCCCACTAACCGGGTCCCACTCTGGGCGGAAGCAGAGGCCACTCCCAGGGGCTCGCCCTGGGCTGGTGCCAAGCAGGACAGGGAGTCATGGAGGACCGGGCTGCGGGAGTGCTGGTGAGGCCGTGCGCAAGAACCAGCCACAGGAAGGGGCTCCCACAGGAGGGACTTCCCCGGCCCCTAACCTAAAGCAGCTCCTCTCCTCTTCTAGCTCATACCTGGGATGCGCTTCCTTCAGAGCACTTCACAAGTAATGACTATCACTTATCACTGCGATTATTGACTGTGTCCCACAAGGACCGGATGTGGGCCTTCGTTCTTGCCCTGCTGGAGGCGCCCAAAAGACTGTGCGAGCCCCTCCTGAGGCCCCCACCGCAGCGCCGGGGCCCCTGGCCCCGCCCCGCTCAGGCCCCGCCCCCGAGCCCCGCCCCCCCCCCCCCCCCCCCCCCGGGCCCCCGCCCCTCTCCGGGCTCCGCCCCGGCCCCGCCCAGGGCCCCGCCCCGCCCCCGCGCACCTTCTCCCGCAGCCGCTCGCGCAGCGCCGCCAGGTGTGCCTCGCGGATCTCCTTGCTGAGTTCCATCTTGTAGTTGAGCTTCTCCTCCGCCAGGCGGCTGAAGTTGTTGTTCTCCTCCAGCGCCTTATGCAGCACCTCGCGCTCGTGCTCGCGCCGCTCCGCCAGCTGCTTCAGCACCTGCGCCTCCTGCGTCTGCGCAGGCGGCGGGCGGGTGAGCGCGGGGGCGACGGCTGGGGCCGGCCCAGCCCGCTCCCTGCAAGATTTGCCCGGGACTCCTCGGGCGTTAGCACTGCAAGTTCCGCTGGCCCGAAGACCCCCAGCCCCAGGCAAACGGGAAGCAGCTCGCCCTTTCGTTCGTCCTTGGCCCGCAGGCTGCCCCCTCCTCAATGGGCTGAGAGGGCCCACGCGGCAAGGCTGGGTCGCCCCGCTCGGCTGCCGCCCCCAAACCGCTCCAGAGTGGTGAGCTCAGGGAATGTTGGAGGCGCAGGGGAAATTCTAATCTGTGGCCTGTCCCTGAGGCCTCCCCGCCTCTTCCCGCGGAGCACAAAGCAGGTGCTTGATATACTCCAGGTTTAGAGCTCCCTAAGGTGCTGGAGGCCGGCGGAAAGGTCCCCAGGGCCGCTGGGGAAGGGACGAGTTGGAGCCACCCAGTGGTAAGTAGCCGCCCTCAGCCTCCTTTAGAGGCTGCTGGTCCCACTCATGTGCCAGTCACTACTAGTTAACCCTGTGAAGCCTGGGTCCCCAGATCTCAGCGGGATCTGCTCTAAGGGGGATGAGCCACTGCCCCTGCCTAATAGGCTTGGGCATCAGGACTTCACTCCTGACAGCATGTCCTTTTCTCTGTGTGTTTCAGTCTCAGTGGGGATGGTGTGAAGAGAAGGGGTGGAAGGGGGTTGGGGACCACACCCACTTCTCCTAAGGTCCCCCTGAGCTCCCAGCAGGTCCTCACTCAGCCCCCAGCACGTGGGAGACCCTTCCTTCTCACTTCTCTGCCCAGGAGAAGGATGCCAGCCCAGCTTCATGTCCCAGGGCCCCCCTCCTGGAGCCACCTGACGCCCTGCAGGCCACGGCCAAGGGTACCCCCCTCCCACAGTGTCTCGGTCCTGTCTCCCTTCAGCTGGCTGCCACTGGGGATCCTTCCACCTCCCTGTCCTGTTCTGATCTCTCAGGAGGAACCATGAGACCCTCTCCACCCCAGGCCGATGACCAAGCAAGGGCTTGGAGCACCCTGCACCTTGGGGGCCCTGTCCATGGTCAGCGAGGCCTGACTACCTTCATTAGGACCCTGAGCAGGGGGCAGGCTCCTTACCTTTCTCCGCTCCTCAGCTGCCTCCAGCCGCTTCTGCACCTCCTCCAGAGAGGTGTCCTTCCTCTTGGGGGGAGAGGAGAGCACAGGGCTTTCCGGGGATAGGTCAGAAGGGGACTTGAGGATGACCTCGAAGCTCTGGCCAGAGGCCCTCTTGTCCAGCTGCTTCACCTCCATGTCTGCAGGGCAAGACCAGATGTAGCCTTAAGGAAGAGGCATGTTCCCAGCACACATACAAACCAAGGGCTGAGGGGGTGTGTGTGGCTGCTCATGTGGGCTTCCCAGGCCTGAACCTCCAGAGGCTCCCTCTCCAGAAGCCAGCCAAGCTGGGTGGTCCAGAGAGGCCATGGGAGTGGGGAGCAAGGTAAGGTGAGGGCAGGCACTGGCTGGGCAGGAGTGGGCAGCAGCCCGGGGCACACTCACCCCCATACTGGTAGATGGTGTTGGGGTGCGGCTGTGAGTAGAAGCAGGAGCAGATGAGCGACAGCACTGACAGCTCCTTCATCTTCTCCTTGTAGGCTGTGGGTGTGAGGCCAGCGTGAGCATGTATGACCGCCACCTCCTGACCCCACCTCCCTGGCTGTTCGGGCAGCATGCCTCTGGCCCACCTTTCCTCCCAATGGCTGCCTCCAACATGTCTCTCTGGAGCCTGTTTATCTCACTCCCTTCTGTGTTCCCACATCTCTGACCCTCTACACCTCTTCTGTCCCCCTCCTCCCTCCCAGACGTTGACTCTGCCTTTCCCTGGGCACACCTCCTGGTGGGTCTTCCTGCATTGTTCTCTCTGCTCCTGTCTCTTAGTCCCTGTCTCTTTCTCCCTCCATTTCTCTCTTGGCATGTCTGTCTCTCTCGCTCTCCTAAATTGCTGGCTGGACTTATGTCTCTGTATTTTGTTCCTTTTGTGTGTCTCTCCCTGCCTCTTTCTATGCCTCTCCTCATCCTTCTGTCTTTCTGGCTCTCTGTCACTGTCTCCGCCTGTATCTTTCTATGTCTCTGTGATTCTTTGTCACTGTATATCTTCCCGACTCTCACCTCCCTCTGCCTGTCCAAGAACTTCTTCTTCCCTCCTCCCTCCCCTTTCTCTTACAGGGACACTGGCCTGCTTGAGTAGACAAAATAAACTTACACTCACGACTGGGCTGGCACAGACGTGGAGCTGCTGTGGGCAGCACTTTCTTGGCTTGTACACTTGCATGAAGCCTCAGACCCTCCTGTCTTCACACACACACCCACACCGTTTAACCTGATAGTAGTGTGACCACCCCGATAAAGCCAAGCCCTCACGAGACGCATACTCGCTGCCCATCTAGGGCCAAAGGGAAGGGAGCTGTTCATTCAGCACCACAGCCTGCCCATAGCCTTGCAGAGGGAGTGCCCACAGCCAGCGTCCCCAGTGCCCAACCAGAAAAGAAGGTAAGCCTGGCTGCTGAGGCCCTGAGCCCTGTCAGGGGAAAGGAAGATGCCTGCTTTCACATTGGAAATAACTGAGCTATCTGTGGTCTATCTGTGGTGAGCCAAGCCCCAAAGGAGACCAGTTGGTTCAGTGTCTCACTAGTTCTCAAAAATCCTGTAAGCCCAAATCTGTCACCCCTGCTCAACCGGGATGACACTGGGCCCAGTGGCTTGGGGGACTTGCCCAAAGCTCCTTGAGCACAATCCCAGGTGGTCTTTTATTCCACCACTCCAGCAGGTCCCAGAGACTAGGAGGTCCGGAGACCCATGCAGGTGCCTCCCTGGCTGGAGAAGCTGGAATAGGTCTCCAGAGAATCTAGCTTCCACGAAGGAGAAAGCGTGACAGTTACCTCCAGCATTCTTCCAAGGGTCAGACAAGAATTTGGACAACAAAATTTCTGATCAAATTTCACACAGATCATGTTTTTAAACTGAGTTCACAAGAAACTGGGAAAAGTGTTAGTGTAGAAGTAGACACAGGACAGAAATGATCAGGCCCTTATCTGAGGGAAGAGCTCATGGTGAGCAGAGTCCTCCCACGACCAGTGCAGAGGATGGTGTTATTTGATCTAAACGTCCTGATGACCTAGGCTCTCTGGAGAAAGCTAAAGAGGTTGTAAAAGGAGTACAAAGGAATCCTGGGAGTGGAGAGAGAGCCTTTGGGGCTCGGAGGGGCAGCATCGCAAAGACATGTCTTGGTTATTAGCTTCAGGAGGCTGGGAGGAAGGAACAGGTGGACATGGGCCTCAAAGGGATTTTGGCCTGACTTGTCAATTTTATTTTTTCATGAGCAGAATCTATTCATGTAATACCTGTGTTATGAGCAGTTAGTTTTATAAAGGAGGCAGAGGGGTGCATCCCAGTACATGTGCTGGGGAGTTAGAGGGTATAAGACCACGCAGAGCCACCTCTTCAGGAGCAGCAGGCCAGGAGACATTCAGATAATTGGAGAGGCTGGGGAGGTGGCCAGCCTGTGCTCAGAAGGGAAGGTGGGGAAGGGGATCAAGAGACAGTCTGTACCCAGGGTTGGGGGCATGCCTTAGTCCTGGGTGAGGCCAGGAAGGAGCAGACGGTCTAACTCTGCTAGCACCTGCCACCCTGGCAACAGACACCAGGCCCCATCCTGACATTTCAGGGAGTCCTTCCTCATCACATGTCAAAACCACCAGATGGGTTCACCTTACATGCCAGGAACCTGGGGCCTCACAGCTGCTCAAGCTTCTCTCTGACTTGAGCCTGAAATTTTCCCAGAGAAGAAGCTGCAGATTCGTTACAGAGGAAGAACAAGCTCATGGACAAATGCCAGGGGAGCCCCCTTCCAGGGAACTGTCAGTTCAGCATGGGGGGAGGCTGGCAGCGGTTCAGGGGGCAGGATGGGGAACCTGGGCAGGTGTGAGCAGTGTACTGTCAGGAGAAGGAAGAGAAGGACGAGGGACTAGAGACTGAGGTCAGAGCTGTTGGAGGTCACGGCTCCCAGGGGACGAGTGTCCAGCTGAGAAGTGAGGGGCTGTGTTCAGCGGCTCCACATGGACTCGGCTCAGCAGCTGGTGGTCTGTGCAGATTTCCCAGGTTGGTTTTCCCAGCTGATGGCCCATGAGGAGCGTCCTTCTCAGAAGGAAGCCAAGTGGGAGGGGGCGCCCCCCAGGAGGGGTCTGGGGAGTGAGGCCTGCTCTGTGGTCTGGATGCAGGCTCCAGGGGGCTGGATGGCAGGTAGGGGATTGGCAAATTCAGAGAGAGCGAGCAAGGGGAAGCCCGCATGCACGTGTGTGTGCTGGAGTCCAGGGCCAGACCCAGCCGCCCATAAGGCAGGAGGTTGCGCTTGTGTCTTCAGAGCTGGAGGGGCTTACAGGTCACGTCCCATTGCAGAGGCGAGAGGTCAAGGCCCAGACCCATCCAGGCCACCTCTCCACAGACAGAGCTCAAGCCAGGAAGCCCCTCCAGGGCCTTGAGGCACACTCTCCCTTTTCTCCCTCTCACCTGGACCCGTCACTTCCTTCCCCATCACCGACTTCAGGGAGTCATTAAAAACACATCTCTGCCAGGAGGTGGATGGCTTTCATCTCCCTCTTTCTCTTCATGTTAAATGTTAAATGCGCAAAAATGCATATTGGCCTTTGGGATACCTTTGTCAGCCTCATTTCTACAGAGGCAAAAAAGAGGCTCAGAGAGGGCAAGTGACCCACCCAAAGTCACACAGCATACCAAGATGGGAACCTGGTCACAAGCCTAGGTCTCTGGCCGCACTTTCCGTTGGGAGCCTCATGGCGGGGGCAGGGGGGAGGTCTGTTCAGAACTGGGTGGCAGAGGGGCTACTGATGCCCACACACCCCTAGAAGGGCCCTGGAGGCTGCTGCTGACTGCTTCCTGACAGGTGAAGCTCGTCACCACGCAGGCTGCCCCTTTCTCACTAGTCAGAGTCACCTCCAACAGTGCCAGGAGCTCTGCATGGCAGGAATCGTTGGCAGAATGTGCCTTTCTCTGGGTGGGAAACTCTGGGAAATGTGGCTACAACAGTCACGCTGCCTGGCATGGACAGGGCACTCACCTCTTGCCACGCACCAGGCCATGCACCTTTCCTGAAATATCTTGCTCGACCCTCAGAACAAGCCTAGGGAGGTGCTGTCACTATCATCGCAACTCAGATGGGGAAACTGAGGCCCTGAGAGGTCAGGTATCATGTGCAAGGCCTCACAGCTGGACGGAGTTGCATAAGGAGCTGAATATGAGCAAGAGTCTACAAAAATGTGTGAAGAGCTGAGTGCCTGGGAGGACGCTGAGAGACGGCCATGCCTTCCCCACCAAGTTCCCAGAGTGTGGCCTGTCAGGAGGTGCTCAAGGGAAAGGAGGCGGGAAAGCTTTTCAGTGCACACAGGGTCGGAGAGCTCAGGTGAACCCTGCAGAGGCTACGAGATCATAACAGACGATGGTCCTTCACCCTGGTCACCAAGACCAAGTGGGCCACCAGTGAGCACAAGGAGACAGGCCACTTCCACATGGAAGGCCGGTGGCTGCTTCAATCAGAGATGTCAGTTAATAGAAAAGCCAGGAGCTGGCCCAGTGGCGCAGTGGTTAAGTGCGCACGTTCTGCTTTGGCGGCCTGGGGTCCGCCAGTTTGGATCCTGGGTGTGGACATGGCACTGCTCATCAAGCCATGCTGTGGCAGGCATCCCACATATAAAGTAGAGGAAGATGGGCATGGATGTTAGCTCAGGGCCAGTCTTCCTCAGCAAAAAGAGGAGGATTGGCAGATGTTAGCTCAGGGCTGATCTCCCTAAAAAAAAAAAAAAAAAAATAGAGAAGCCATAGCTTAAGTTCACTTAAACCCATTTTGGCCTCAATTGCCGGCACTCATGGCCAGGCATGTGTACGTGTTGGCTGCATGCTGTTGAGGGCAGTGCTGATGACAGAACAGGTAAGGCCCAGCCCCATGTGACACTGGCCAGGGGGCAGTTCAGCTGCTGGCACTGTGGCACGTCTGCGACGCCGTGGCCATGCTGAACAAAACTAACCGAATGCACTAATGGTTTGCCTTTTGGCACCACTGGCAGAACCCTTGGACCAAGTGTGGGTCAGCAGTACCCCAAAGTCCGGCCAAGAAGAGATGGCTAGTGTCAGGGGGCACTGAAGCTGGAGGGTCTGGGCCCAGCTCTGACGGCCATCAAAGATGTGGCTTGGTTGTGTCCCTTTACCACCTACTCTCAGTCTGCTTATCTGTCAGATAACAGGAAGGAGGCCTACTGAGTAGGGTTTTTACTAAAGGGGGTGAGAGAAAGGCTGAGAACTGCTCCCCACGAGTGGCTGCCCACCATCCCCGGCACAAGCACAGGAGCTGAGCAAGGACCTGCAGCCCCGCCTAGTGTGGGACTGGGCAGCACTCCGGCCACGGAGAAGACAGAGCCACCCTCATTTGTCAGGGGAGGGTCCTGTTCTGCCCAAAGCTGGTCCCCATATTTCTGAGGATATCAGAGAGAGGACAGCGGGGCGGATGAAGCCCAGATGGGCACACGGGTGGGGGGTGTGGTCAGCGACGCACGTGGTCCCCTCCCAGACTGGTGCAGAAGTCCCCTGGGGCCTGGAACCCGCAGGGCCTGGGGGCGGGGGCGGGGCGGGGCACACGTGGGTGGGCGGAGCTCTGGCGCCTCGCTCCCAGGGCGAAGGGAAGGGTGGCCGGGAGTGTGGTTCGGGCTGGAGGGTGGATGGGGTAGAGATAGGGCACCGCCTGCCCTGCCGTCCCAGGCGCCGCGTGCAAAGGTGAAGCTGGTCCTGGGGCGGCCGGACAGAGCAGAGCGTTCCGAAGGTGAGCGAACCCGCGTCCTCGCGACCAGGGTCGCCCCGCAGCTCCCCCGCGTTCAGTATCTACCCGCGTCGCCCCCCTCGCCCCGAGCCCGCCCCTTCGTCGAGCTCCGCGCCTGACCAGGCCGGGCCAGGAAGGAGGGGGTCACTGCCCTAGAGGACGGTGCGTCTGCAGCCTGGGAGACCGGGCGGCGGGGGAGGGACAGGTAGACCCCCGCCCGATCCTCGGAGGATTTGGAAACGGCAGCAGTCCCTCCCCCACCCCAAACCCCCTGCACAAAAGGTGGTGGCTTTTCCAACCAGAGCGAGTGGCTCCGTGTCGCAGAGGGTAGTCCCCCAGCCCGAAGCGGCGAGAGGAGGGGGCAGCGACGTGAGGTGCGGGCGCGGCTCTCCTCGCTCCCGGCTCGGGTCTCCCTCCCCCGTCCTCCCGCAGGGCTCTTTCCAGCCCGAGGGGCTCTCCATTGGCGCAGGGAGGGCCCGGGTCCCGCCAGCCCTGGGCCGGGGCTCCCGCAAAGGGTCCCACCCGCTTCCCTCCTCCTCCCCAACCCCCGCCCCGAGAAGGCGCGGCGGACCAGGGGCACGGGCCCGCGCCCGGGTCCTCGGAGCCACCCTGCCGCGGTGGCGCTCGGCCTGGCACAGCGGCACCTGGAGGGGCAATGCGCCCCCGCGCCCGACTCCCCCCACTCCCCGAGAGCGCTCCCCCGGCGCAGCCCCTGCCCAGCGGCCCACGCCCGCCCGCCCAGCCGGCGCCGCAATCCCTGCCCTTGGGGCACCGGGTTGCCTCAACCTGGCGGCCCTGAACCTCGGCTCTTGCGGGTTAGGCCCGGCCGCGCCCCGCGCCTTGTAGGGCGCGGGGTCCGAGATGGAAAAGAGAGTCCGCAATCGGTCCCAGCGTCAGGCGAGGGCAGACAATAGCCTCTGCTCAGATAATCCGCCGCCCGGGGAAGCCCGCGGCCCGGGTGCTTACCGGACATGGTGCTGGCCATGGTGCTGGCGGCGGCGGGGGCTGCGGAGGCCGGAGAGGCGCGGGCGGCGGCTGGAGCTGCAGTCGGGGAATGCTGCAGTGCCTGGGAGGGGAGGGAGCGAGGAAGGGCGGGAGGCGGGAGCGGGGTGGGGGGGGGGGGCGAGAGAGAGAGAGAGAGAGAGAGAGAGAGAAAGGACCTGGCTGTGGCAGGGGCTAGAGCGTCAGAGGGAGAGGGGCGGAGGCACGGAAGGATGGGAAGGAAGAGACCAGCCTGGGACAGAGGGCAGAGGACTGCAACAAGAGGCCAGTCCTCCCACTGCTCACCACATGGACCCGATGCTCCCCCAACTTGGCTTTGTACAGGCTTGGGGGATGGTGGAGACAGTCCCCTTCCCCACGGTGGGCACTGCAGGACAGGCCCCAGTGCCTGGGCCGGGTGGGAGAGCTCTGCACTGAGGCTGCTGGAGGCTGGGAGGTGCCTTCTGTATGCCCAGGTCTGTGCTGAGGGGAAAGCTTGTCGTGGACAGTGGGGGTGGGTGCTAGTCTGGAAGGGCTCCAAGAGGCCTCCTAGAGGATAAGCAGATTCTGAGGCAGAGAAGAGAGTAAATGGGGGTGGTGAGACCTAGAACAAGGACTTTGAAGTGAGATAGAGGCTGGTTCTGACCCCAGCCCTGACATCTACTTGCTGTGTGACTGGGGGCAAGTTTCTGACGTCTCTGGGCCTCCATTTCTTGGGTGTTAAGATGAGACAATGATGCCATTCCCCAGATGAGGAGGAGAGCAGATGCCCACACTTGGTCAGTAGGTAGGCGTCCTGCCTCCTCTCCTCCTATGGGCTCAGGGTTCTGGTTGATACCCTCAACGGTAAAGCCTGGTAGAGATGGGGGTCCCTCTCCTGCAGTGACCATCTCACCTCACTTTGGGGATGGGAAGTCAAACAAATGGAGTGCTGTTCCTGTTTTAGGCGTGGAGCCACTGAGGCCAAGAAGAGTCCTTACTCCACAAGCACTTAAGTCCTAGTGCCAGGAATAAAGCTCTGGGAACCCTCTGGAACCTGCAGAGAGACGAGGTGGGCTCAGGAAGGTGAGTGACAGGGACAACTGAGGATCAGAGTCAGCCTGGAGCAGGCCCAGCAGTGCGTGTATAAACATACCTCCACGTGCACACACAGCAAGCCCATGGCTGGTTAACATATGTCCTGTGGTCTGCATGGTGTCTGGTCTGCTGTGGAGTCCCACAAAGCCTGCCAGAGCAAGTGCTCAATTCAAATTTGTTGACTTGGTTGAGATCCCTTGCTGTGGCCAGCCTCGGTTTCCACCCAGGATGGCCATGGCCATCTCTCAGGGTTGGTTCAGTACAACAGCATTTACGTGTTACAGCTTATAGGAGACTGGGCAGCTTCTGTGCATGATGTGCAACCAGGCAGCACGTGGGTCAGCTCAGGGTCTCGGGTCCTCAGCTCCACTTCTGGCCCAGGAGGTCACTGAGCCTCTGTGTCCTGGCCTTCCCTTTCTTGGGCTTCTGGGGGATGAACACCACTGCTCTCAGCAGATGGGGGTTGTGGAGGTGAAGAGCAGGCCTCCTGGACCTAAGACTTGCTAGCTGCTGGCTTTGGGCCATCTTCTAACCTACCTGTTCTGTGCTTCGTGTCCTTGTTTGTAAAGCGTGGATAATAGAACTTATCTCAGAGGTCGTTAGGAAGACAGACGTATCAGCGCAGGCATGGATGGTACTGAGCCCTGTGCCTGGTGAGCACTGAGCAAGTATGTGGCCCCAGGGTCCTCATCTTCTCCAAGCTCGCTGCTGGGTGTCTAAGACAGACACTACAGTGCCCTCACCGGAACAGGTGGGTGGGGTGGATGCCAGCCTATGCCAGGGGCTTCCCCTGGCATGATCTGACACATATCAGCATAGACACACCTGTGACATACATGTGCCATCAGCAGGACAACATCTGGACATGAGAGAGAGCCCAGGAGAAGCTCTGAAATCAGCATTGCCAGCTGGCTGTGGGCAGTCACTGCAGCATCAGCTTCTTTTATTTATTTATTTATTTATCTTTTTGAAGAAGATGAGCCCTGAGCTAACCGCTGCCAATCCTCCTCTTTTTGCTGAGGAAGCCTGGCCCTGAGCTAACATCGTGCCCATCTCCCTCTACTTTATATGTGGGATGCCTACCACAGCTGGTGTGCCAAGCAGTGCCATGTCTGCACCCGGGATCGGAACCGGTGAACGCCGGGCCGCCGAGAAGCTGAACTGCGAATTTAACCGCTGCGCTAGCGGGCCGGCCCACAGCGTCAGCTTCTTCCTGCTGCCTTGTGGGACGTGCTGGGGTCGCCTAGACAAACATCTCTGACCCCACAGAGCTGTGCGGACCCTGGGGCCCCGCTGTTGACTGCCAGCTGGTGCTAGGTCCTGGGGTTTCAGAGGGCCTGGCCCTCACCAGTGGGGGACATTGACTGGAAAAGCAGCGGGACCCCGGGTACACAAGGAGAGGAGCTGTAAGGCTCTCAGGAGCCGGGTCATAGGCGAGGGGCCGCCATTTGCAGCTTTTAGGGGGCGTGATCTGCTCAGACCGGAGTCTTAAATAGACCTGGGTGTTTCGAGAAACGAGAGGAAGCCAGTCAGGCCTGTGCAGTTGTCCTGGCAGCGGAGATAGCGTGCCCCGGGGAGGAGCAGCGGAACGGGGGCCCTGGTGGGGCGACGTCGAGGGAGGGGGCGGGCGGGCTCCCGGTTTCTGCCCGCAGGCGACGGAGGTGCGGGCCCGGGCTCAGGGTCAGCGGAAGGGCAGGGTGGGGCCCGGAACCCAGTGCTCGGGCAGCGCGCGGACCGGTCGGCCGGGGAACGGCTTCCGCCCGGCGCAAGGCGCGGCGGACCGGAATTGGGGGCGGAAGTGCAGCGCGCTGGGGGACGGCTCCGCGCCTCAGCCCGCGAAGTCCGAACCGCTGACAGCGGGGACGCGGTGGCGGTGCCTCGGCCGACCAGGGTGAGTCGAGGGCCCCGGGCGTGGAGGCCCCCCGCGGGGACCCCGGAACCGACGCACACACCCCTCCCCCGCAGAGCGGCGGCCGCGCTGGGGCCGGTAGTTCCCCCGCACCGGGCGCCGGGCTGCCGGGAGGGGCCGCCGCGCCCGCGTGCGGACCGCCCGCTGGTCCGGTGTCCAGGCGGAGCTGAGGCCGAGAGGGGTCGCGCGGCTGCGGGGGCCGCGCGGCTTCGCATCCCGGGTCCAGCAGGCGCTCCGCTCGCTCGTGGGCCCGGTGGCCCACCTGGGAGGGGTGGGGCTGGCAGGCCGGGGGAGCTGAGGGTTGGGGGCCCCGGGGGCCGCAGGTCCAGGCCACCCAGGCCCGGGAGGGGCTTCTGGGATCTGGCCCGTCCGGCTCTGGCGGGGGTAAATGAGTTATTCTTGCCCGGCGAAGCAGGTGTGGCTGTGCCCGGCTCTGGCTCTCGCGTCTCTCTGAGCCGGGTGGCCTCTCCCAGAGCAGGATGGAGTCGTGTGGGGCGGGAGAACCAGGCAGGGCTGATGCGTTAGGTGCTTCACCTCCCCAGATGCCTTGCGATAGGGTGTCACGGGCTTGCCTTCAGACCTTGGCCACAGAAGCGCTGCCGGAGATGGCTGGTCAAGTGGCCTGGCACTCCAGAAAGGCTGGCCACAGTCTTTTTGTCGTCCCCATCTCTGTGCCCTAGGGGTTCCCCGGGAGAACAGCATTGTGTCCCAGCGCCGCAGGCTGGCATCACTTACCTGGAGTGGCTGAGGTCCCGAGATGTGCAGAGGGTCTGTCTCACAGACCCAGACAGCCTGCATTTCAGCAACCTCTGTGCCCTCCTGAGAACAGGCCATTATGCCCAAGATAACCCTGAACGGTGTGACGGTGGACTTCCCTTTCCAGCCGTACAAATGCCAAGAGGAGTACATGACCAAGGTCTTGGAGTGTCTGCAGAAGGTAGAGCCGCAGAGGGAGGGGTCTGTACCTGGGGGAAGGGTCAGCCTGGGTAGAGCTTCCGAAAAGGCCTGATGTATTTCCACCTTCCTGTTCACTCCAGCCAGGTCCTGTGGGGTGAAATGTTCTCTTCTGGACACGGGACTCAGTCATAAGTAGGGCCAGTGGTCCAGGTAGGGTAGGAGACATGATAAACAAGGAAACAGAAAAGATAATTATGCATGGCGATGAAAGCTATGAAGAAAAGATGTAAGGTGATAGGCTTGGGAGCACCTTGGGGGCCTCTCTGAGGAGGTGGCATCTGAGCTGAGGCCAAGCGAGGAGGAGCAGCCAGCCATTTGAGGATCTGGACGAGGCGTTTCCACATAGAAGGACAGCCCTCGCTTTAGAAAGCCTTTAAACCTCCAGGGTGTGCAGGAAGGTGGAAGGGCTGCAGGTTGCTGTCCGCTGGGTGTCTTAGCGCACCCTCCTGTCCCAGCCCACGGCCCCAGCCCCTGAGGGCTGGGTCTGCATCTGGGCTCCTGGCTGCTGTTGTGGCAGTCGGGAGCCTGGTTCTGTGGCAGCTGGGAGCATAGCTCTGCCTTCCTGCATCCCCAGGCCCCCAGCTCAGGCTCCATCTGAGAGCTATGTAGGCCATCAGGTTCCCCTCAGGTAGTGTAAATGCCTGGATCCAGAATCATAGAACAATATCCTATTTTGGGGCTTGGCACCTAATTAATCATCTTACTATTTATATTAGTCTGCAAAGTAGTGTCCCGTTTTGGGTAATGACCTGCAGACTGTCTGCTAATGAGGACTGAGTTAACCACAGCCTTTGGGTTGAGGGTGAAAACACTGTCCTATGGAATTGCCACTATCACTCAGGGCTCCTGTCACCTCCTGGGGGGGGCGCTGCCCGCAGAGCTGCCCCGAGGCTGCTGGGCCGCCTGTCTCGGTGGGCTGTGTGGCCTGTAGCGCCTCTCCCAGCTTCCCTGTGACCCTGCTCCTGACCCCATTCAGAAAGTGAACGGCGTCTTGGAGAGCCCCACGGGCACGGGGAAGACCCTGTGCCTCCTCTGCACCACGCTGGCCTGGCGGGAGCACCTCCATGACGCCATCTCTGCCCGCAAGATTGCCGCGAGGGCACAAGGGGAGCTCTTCCCAGATCGCGCCTTGTCGTCCTGGG